CTGATTAGTAACCTTCCTCTGGGCGAAGAGAAACCACAAAGCTGCAGAGACGCTTTGACAAATAGACACCCGCTGCAGTCCTACTGTAGTCCGGTCCACTCCTTTGAAATGGTCTTCGTAAGTGAGCTGTTTAATAATCTCTATAAAAGACCCTTACTGTACTCGCTGAAACCTTTTGGCAGAGCTCCAGTGGGTGTTGTCTCTCCAAGTGATGTGCAAATGATGGGCCGTATAATGAGCAGGTGCACACGGTGCTGCCGAATCATTTCCACATGCTTTATGACCAGATGGGAGAGTGCAATGAACAAAGTGTTTGGCTAAGTTACGCTTTAGGTGTGTCAAAAGTAGCATTCCACTTCCACGTACAGGGCTACCAGCTGAGTGTTGTTACCGGCTGTCTGTTATGTGATGGACAGAGTTTGAGTTGTGACTAGCAAAAAATTCTGACTAAAAATGAGGCTTAAGTGGTTGATCTGTAGAATCAGGAACGACTGGAGCTACTGGTTTGGGATAAAAACACTGAACAAAACTATAAATGCACTCAAAGAAAAAGTAAAAAAATTTCAATTCTAATGTTTGTACAGAGTTAACAAGAAGTTTTTAAGCAAATTCTCAACCAGCGAGTTAATCCAGACTCCAATGTTCAGATAAACGGACACGATTAGTGACGATAAAAGGCCTTAAAATGCAGCTTTTTTTGGAAAGACATGATGCCACAGATGATGGATGCTGGCACGTCAGCAACTGAGTACTTGGATGTCCACAACTCCACCATTCGTCTTCCAAGAAATCCCTTCAGAATGGCTTTAAAGTGTCGCACAACGTGATCCCGTCTCCCGAAATGTCCACCAACTTCACCGAGTCCTTCGGCAAGAGTTGGACAACAATCTCAAATCAGCATCGACGACCTCATTGCCTCTCTTACCCCTTATCCACCAAACCGGTTCCAGTGCTAGTTCCGTGCTAGTGCCTGACTTAGCACCAGTTCTTTGTGTTTCCACCGTCTAAGCACCAGGTCCAGGTTCTCAAAACTGGTGCTTAGCAAGCACCAAGTACGTCAGGGGCTGGGCGCGGGGTTATCGTGACCACCGATGAATGAATGGGACACACGAGCGGTGATTTGTGCTCCAGCCTGCTATGTGGGGCGTTCGGGGAACATCGTAATTGTAGAGTCTATCAATAAGGAAATGTTCAGCCGGTCATATGTTTTGCCTGTGACAAGGTAAGAAGTGTGAACAAATGAGAAAGTTGGTAAAAAAAAGTCAGTCTGGAGTCCTGTGTGGTGCGAGTGTTGTTCGGTAAACGGCTACGTATGCAGTGACGTATGGCGTGGCTCTAACTTGGCTCCTTGCTGATGGAAAAACAACCAATTCTTGGACTGGAACCAGCTAAGCACTGGTCCTAGCACTAGCATGGAACTAGCACCTGGTGCTTCTTGGTGGAAAAGGGGTATCTGAGTTGCAGATGTCAGACTTGTGCTTTCTGACTCTCAGTTTACCCAATGTCGCCAATATACTTGGTTGCTTCATGATGCCTATGATGTTAAACCGGTTTGCTAAGTGCTGGAAAACAGTTGAAACTGTAAGTAGAAGAGTGAATGTGTGATGGTCTAATGAAACAGAACGACTTTTAAAGACCCCCTCCAGTAAAAATCAAGCTTTAGTCTCGTTTCCATACAGTGCTTTTTTTTTTTTTTTTATACAAGTGTAGTCGAAGATACATCATAAAGGAAACAAGAACTCCATGACTGAGGATTTCCATCGTGCACAGTTTCGGATTCAACAACAGGGTTTCATATGTCACAAACCAAATGGACCAATCAGGTTTTGACTTTCTGAATCATAATTTTTCTCCAAAAATTGATTTCCATTGGTTAAATTAGTCCAACATTGCAACTTGTTTCTAATCCATAAATCATAAATCACATATTTTCGTGGTAAAAACCTTCTAAATTCGTTCGAGTTGTTCTAAACACCTTCTGCCGGATTCCTACCAACACATTTATTCCCTCACAAACAAATCATAGACCGGCTTTTTCGCCCTCTCACCAAAGTTCAACCTGAATTTGATGAAGTTTCATTACTTCGCTGCACTTATCAGGAAACAATCTGGATTTATTGTAATGCCACATCATATAATGCAGAGTTTTCATTTCTTTTACTAACACGCCGGTGCCCAGGCGTTCGGCCTTGTAATTTTCGGTGCCAAATGCATTCTTCGGTGCCAAACATAATACCTTAACCAGGCTCGTGTAAAAAAGCTGCAGTATGTGCCTGTCGATAGCCTCCTATTATCCAAAAGGCAATTTCCCCTCACAACAAAAGGCTGATTTGCTTTAGCTGCCTTCCATTTTGAGGAACACGCTGGAAAACTTATTCCGCTCCCCTGGAACGCCTCGGCATCGTTATAAATGTAAAAGTCACATTTGATTCCAATGCCTGTGTTGTTCCACCCGGGGGAACCGCATTCGGAAACGCCGTTTTCATAATAGCGCATTTTGTGTTTACAAGTGTGCTGTGGCTCTTTTGTGCGGCCGGTCAAGTGAGCAGCGGGACCACCTCCCTGGACGTGTGCGCATTAATATTGCATCCAGTTTCCTCGTGTTCGAATAAAAACGACGCGCCGCCGTGCAGGTTCACAACCTCGCGAGCAAGGAAACTCAGCCGCACATAAAGCTGCAGATAGTTAACCAAGCACCAAAAATAACGTCCAGAGGCAGCGAGCAGGCAGAAAGCTGGCTCAGTGTGGTACAAGTGCTGAACCACCTCTGCTGGAAGCCGGTCGGTGTCTACAAGCTGCTGTTTCAGGTCCAGAGACCGAAAGGAGCAGCTGGGTCCAAACAGCTCGCAGCGTCGCCCATCGGTGGATTAGCGTCCGTCTGCTTTTCTTTGGAAGCAAAGCGTCGGCTCTAGCCTGGAGAAACAACCCCTGCATGGCTTTTAGTATCACTTGATTGATGACAGCTGAACATACAAGGCTTCTTTGTGCACTGTAAAAAAAAATATATATATGTTTTTGAGCAAATTTTAACTCCTTCAATTTATTGTCATTTTACAGATTTTCCATGTTAATAACTAGTAAAAATGCACACACAAAAATTTATTCCTATAACAGCAAGTCAAAACCATAATGTTCACTCAAAAATCTGTATTTTTATAAACAATAATTCAATGTTCTACAAGTAAAATGACAGGAAAAAAAGGTGGTAATTTACTTCATAACCCTAAGAAAGCAGGATTAAGGACTTAAAAATATATTTAAAAAATTATTGGTGGTTGCTACTATTATTAATACTAGTATTATTATTATAATTTTTTTCCTGCTTTTTTTTTGATAATAATAATAATAAACAAAAGCCAGGACTCAAAACTACTGTCCACATCAAAAAAAAAAGATTTTTTCTTACAAACGATCATTCATTATTTTGTGGCTGTAAAATGACACGATTTTTATTTATTTATTTATTTTTTACTGTATTTAAATTAGCAAAAATTCCAATATTTTACAGATTAATTAGTGGGGTTTTTAAAAAAACAAAAAACAAAAAACATGTATTAATGACCTAAAAATGGTGAATAATTTTCTGTAACTAGTATTTTATTTATTTATTTGTACAGATTTTTCTGTTATGTTAAATTATGGACAACTATTAAAATCACAGGGGAAAAAAAAACAGAAATTTACATTTTATTCCTTAAAACACTGTATAAAACTCTGTATAAAAAAATCTCTATTTACAAATGGTAATTCGTTTTTTCAACAACATTTGATAGTAATATTAAACAATTTCACCCTGTTTATATGAGCAAAAAAAAATTACATATTTACAGATATTTGCTGTTTGGGGAAAAATAAATTATATATTTATATATATATATATATATATATATATAATATTCATTAAGGACTGAAATTGAAAAAAACAACAAAAAAACTATAGTTTTAAAGAATTTTCCTGGTTAAATTATACACTTTTACAGACTACTAAAATCACAAAAAAAAGTTTTAATTTACAAAAGAAAAAAACAAATGTTCAAGTCTTAATTTTTTACTAAAAAAAAAAATTATATATATATACGTGACTGTAAATTTACAGCTTTTTTTCCTTCTTAGATATTTTCCATTATTTTTACACTTTGTCCAGTTGTTGAACATTTACTTTTTCCCTTGCTGCCAGATTTTTTTTTCTTTACTGTAATTACAGAACATCCAGGCCTGTGCTCAGTGACCAGAGAACAGCAGATATCTCTAAACACAGGTTAAATTGACTCCGTTTACTTTCTCCAGGAGCTCAGATCACCGACACTGAACTAATAGCCGTCTTTCCAAAGCTAACTGTTTTTTCCCAAACGTCCCACGTCGGCGTGAGGACGATCCCAACGTCCTGGGCTTCGAGCTGAATCTTACAAATAGCGTTCTTGAACCGGTCGTCCGGATGCACACCTCCATCTTTTCCCGAGGCCACCCAGGAGCCGCTGACTGACAGACGCTGGATGCGAAGCTGCCTCGCAAAAAAACTGAGCGAGAGGAAAAAAAAAAGAAGTGTTCCTCTTGTTCAGGGCACATTTTCACCGAGCGCTTGCCAATGCTTAGTTAGAGATCGCTGGATTTGATCCTCTGAGTAAACACGGACTTGATTTGGGCCTGTTTTATGTTTTAATTGTATGTTTGTACAAGCCGTGCTGTCTGCAGTGCATAAGGCAGCGTTTCCCAGCCTGTGACAGGGGATCTTAATCAAATACCGAGAGAGATGTCAAAAAGCACACAAAGCCAGTGTTTCTGCTGATCTTTGGGTTGCGTCGCCGTGTTTAGCCGCTGTGTTTGTTTCCCGGCCGGCGTGATCGGTCGCCCTGGTGTTTAACAGCTCGTCACACGTCCAGGACAGCTCATGATTGTCTCCAGAATCACTCCAAATGCACCGACGTGGACCTCAGTTTGTCATTTTTCTGCCTATTTATGTTGTAAATGTTTGAACAATCCCCTTTTTCCTCTCTCCACAGGGCCCTCCAGGTCCAAAGGGGGAAAAGGTGAGTAATCGTCGGCTTTGATATTTCACTGGTGCTTTTCTGACTTTTGGTGCAAAGAAACGTTTCGACAGTCGGAGACGTGTCGGCACTTATTCGCTTTCTTGTCGCGAGTGTTTAAAGGATTGATAGCGACCCCGTGTCTGTGTTCAGAGCCAGCAGCTGTTAGCTTAGCATCAACACTGAAGCAGCTTCTGGAAAACAATTTAACAGATTATTTCAACAATTTACTATTGTTTCTACAGATTTTTACTGTTATGTTAAATTACAGACAATAACAAGTAAAATCACAGAAAAAAAATTAAGTTAATTTACATGCTGACTGTATAAACAAACAGACCAAATCTGTAAATAAACATCAGTAATTAAATAAACTTCAATTTGGTCTTTTATAGCATATCACCATAAAATCAGACTCTTTTACTGTATTTAAATCAGCAAAAAAAATCAATGTTTTACAGATATTTGCCATTCATTTAAAAAAAAAAAAATCGGAATGTTAAGGACTGAAAAATGGTAAATTATTATGTAACTGTTGCTTTATAGATTTATTTTGTTTTGTTAAATCACAGATAATATCTGCTAAAGTAACAGAAATAAATATTTTATATATATCTGTAATTTTAGAAATGGTAACTGTTTTTTTACAGTGTGTGACTGAAATTACACAATTTTTTTATATTTAAATCAGCTAAAAACTAGTTATTTTACTTAGATTTGCTGTTATTTGAAAGAAAAAAATATGTATTTTAAAGATAAAGATTTAAGTATTATTTTATTGACTTTGCATGTTTTGATGATCTGTTACCACAGATAATATGTAGTAAAGGCACAGAAAAAGGAAAATAGTGTTAATTTACATGTAGACAGTTAAAAAAAAGAATGTTATATGTATATATAATAAAAAATATATAGTCATATTAAAAATCTAAATTATTATTACTTTACAAATATTTGATGTTATTTGAAAGAAAAAAAATATGTATTTTAAATTACTTTTCATGTGTTGTTTTACAGATTTTGCCTGCTCTGTTGACTGTAAAAATAGTAACAATAAAATTTTTCATTTCAAATAACTGTATTTATCCTCTAGAAGCAATTAAAGAGCTCACTGAATATTTAAAATAAAGACATCAAAAAAAATAAATAAAAACAATTAAATAAAATTAAATAAATAAACAATAAACCACATCATAAATATTACACTGGCAGGAAGTATTTACAGCGTGTGACTGTAAAATGACTTCGTCTCACTAAACTTGTGCTACTGGACCTCTTCCAGTCTCAGTGCTAAGCTAACTGGTTGCTGCTGCTAGCTTCAGATTCATCCCTCAGACATCAGAGTGATTTAATATTCAGCCTGTTTTACATATTTGCAGGTCAGGCACATAGAAGTCTTTGTTTTGGCTCGTTTGTCCACCACGAGCACCGTTTGGCTGCCGCTGCCTTCATTTGCATTCGACTCATCCCGACGTTAAGTCTTGGACTCTTGATATTAAAATTATTTCTGCCTTCAAAAACTCCACAGCTCAGAACGTTAAAGACCAAACGGCGGCGCTGAACTGAAGCCCTTAAATGCCTCGCTGAGCATTCCTCCATAAAACAGCGGCGGAGCATGCAAAGCAGACCACACTGTCTCTTTATACGTCTGCAGGACTCTGGACAGAATGTGTGGCTGGAATCACACTGAAGCCGATAAAGGCCCCGATTCACTTTGTATGGAAACAGGTTGCTGCTGGGAGACTTTAAAGTGCAAATATCTGAAGTCCAGCGGAGGGAGACTTTTACAGGCCTTCTATGAATGAATTAAGTATTTATGCATGTTTGGTGTGAAAGGAGCAGCAGCTGGAGGATGACTGAGCCGGACAGAACCAGACATGAAGTGGAAAAGCATCAGAGAGAGACCGGACCAGAGATAAAGTCTCAGAAACAGGAACATCTGAGTGTGGAAACTGGACGTTCCTCATGATGTTAGTTTATTGTGCACCGTAAAAAATGAACAATTAGTTGTTGTTTCATGGATTTTCTGTGTTAATAATGAGAAAAATCACAGAAAACAGCTAAAAACTAAAAACTGAATTAAATGTTGTGAAAAGTGTTGTTTTATAGATTTAATATGTTTTGTTAAATTACATAGAACAACTAAACTAAGAGAAAAGAGAATTAATTTATGATTTTTACATGTTGACTTTTTAAGTGTGTAAAATAAAGATATTTTTAGTGTATTTAAATCAACAAAAATATGATTATTTTTCAGATATTTGGCATTGTTTGACAGAAAAAATATTTATAATAATGACTTTAAAATAGCAAATAATTAACTTTTATTTTACTGATTTTCCTGTTTTGTTAAATTACAAATTATAGCTATTTAAATGACAGGAAAAAAATATAAATTTACATGTTACTACTAAAAAAACAAACAAAAAAACAAACAAGCTATATCTGTTAATAATGTAAAACAAACACATTAAATGTACAAATAGTAATGCCTTTTTTTTTTTTTACAACATTTGACTAATAAAATAACAGATAAAACGTTTAATACATTTTAATTAACCATAACTCCCAAAAAAACTGCTTAAAGGACTGAACAATAAAAATATATTTTTTATTGCTGTTTTATAGATTTTACTTATTTTGTTAAATTACAGAAAATTACTAAAATCACAGACAAAAGTATAAATTTCTTAATTTACATATTTACTTTTTAAAATTAAAATAAAAAATAAAAAACAAGCAAAAACTCCATTAATCTAGTCGCATAAAAAAATCTGTATTTTTATTAATTGTAATTCCCTTTTTTTCACATTTCACTGTAAAATGATTTTTTCAAAAATGAAATTAAAATGTAGTTATTTCAAAGAAGTATTTTGTGTATAAAGGGTTAAAAAATGTTCAACTTTAACTGTTATTTTCTAGATTTTCCGTATTGTTAAAGTACAGATGACATTCAGTAAAATAACAAAGAAACGTATAAATGTTCACTATTGTTGTCACGAACCAACAGTTGGTTATTTTTCTTACATTGTGCCTCTAAAACCAGAAAAATAACTTCTGATCAGACGCGTGTTCTGACGTGAAGCGCTTCATCTGCAGGTTGAATGAAACCAAAACCAAAACCGTTCTTCCCACCCAGGACGAATCAGTGTGGACATTCAACTGTTTTCCCATCAAAGTGTTGGTTTCTGGAACGGACGTTGGACGAAAAATGAGAAAAAATTGGTGACGCTGTTTTACGTGAAGCTGTTCGGGCGTCATGCGGCTCTTTTCCTGAGATGAGCCACTTTACGGCTACATTCGTTTACATTCAGTCTTCCTTCGCTTGCGTTAAACAAAAGTTCGCCTTGTCTCCGGGTTCTAATGCGATAAACCGGCAGCGTTTCGCCGCGCAGGTCGATTGGAAACCAAATGTTTTCTCCGTCAGGATTTGCGCTCTACCCCCCAAAAGAAAGCAGGAGGCAGGAAGCCAAACATCTCTGGGGCATAAAATCCGGCCTGGCAGCGGGAGTTTGCCCTCCCCTCACCAAACCCACCAAACCTCACACCACCGCCGCTGCTGCTCGTTTTCTTCTTCTTCTTCTCTCTTTCAATTCATGTCAGCCCGTGTTATCATAAGTGATTTTACTACCCGACCGCATTGAATAAATAGCCTGTGTTGTTTATCAATGTGTTCTGGATTACAGCGACCCGGGTGTGAGTCTGGTTATTAGTGTGTGTCTGACCCTTGGATTCTTCTTTCTCTTCTTGCAGGGGGATCAAGGCGACCAGGGACCACGGGTATGTGGTTTGACTCCTTGTGATTAGCAGATGAATGTGACTGTGTGTGTCTCCCCCCCAGCTGAATTGTGGGCGAATAAAGGTTTGGGATGCATGAGATTCCTGGGATAGCGTTCCTCCACCATCCAGCCAAACACAACAAGCAAAAACGCCGCGCTGCTTATTTCGAGATACTTCGGGTGGACTTTTTCGAAACCCCTTCCCCCCTCTACCGAAGAGCTCTGCTCAATCTCAGCAACAATCAGAAGGCGACTCCGTCTCCGTAATTACACGTGATTCACTCCGACGTGACATATTCAGAACTTTAATCATTTCCAGCTCCGCAAGTTTGACATTTATATAAAAGTGCAGCTCCTAAATGATGATAATGCGAGTGCTTTTCCACGCTCGGCAGACTCTGAAATGAATTACTCCGTCCCCCCGCTTAGCAGTTAGCTCTCATTTCGCTGGAATAATGGTTAAAAAATGAGCCGTCTTTGAGAAGCAGACGGCGCAGGTTTGTTTAAAGTAGATTGCATTAAGCGTGCGCGCTCGCTTCCTCCGCTGTTGTTCATCAAGGCGGGACTGTGAGGCTTTTAAATGGCTGCGATTGATTTCGTCGAGGCCCGAGAACACGTCGAGGTTCCGTCTCGTCGTGAAAAAGAAACGCCGTCGATCTCCCGAGAGAGGATCCGATCGGGGTTAAGTGCCGCCGCCCACCCACGCTTTAGCAGCTCGACAGTTCGTTTCGTCGGCTCGAGCTGTGAGCGTCGGGTTTCTTTAATGTTGAAAGTCAATACAAGGGACCCTTTAGTCTGTGGAATTTGATTAGTGGCCTCGAAGTGTAACGTTAAATTACAAACCAGGGATTTTAATCCACAATAAAAAAAAATCTGTATTTTTTATAAATGGTAATTTGTTCTTTTTCTGACGAGAAAATTACAATATTTTTTACTCTGTTTAAATTAGCAAAAATATTATTTTGCCATTTTTAAACATAAAAATC